GGAGGGTAAGTCTGTACCCATTGTCTGCCTGTCAATCCCCAGATGGCACTAATAAGTCCTATTACACGTATTCAGCACCTACTGGATGCTTGCCTGGCAAAAGGAACCACTCCTGCACAGACTCTGGAAACCCTGGCTTACTAGGACACAAACTGTTGTTTCCCAGAAACAGGCCAGAGGTGGGCCTTCACCCTTTCAGAGTCTCAGTTTACCCTGGAAAAGGCAAATGTGGGTTACAATCCTATTCAGGATCTCTGTCTAGGATTCCGTAGGCCCAGACCTCCTCAGCCCCATGTCTGTACCAATAGCTGTAGCTTCCCTACGGACATATCTGACAAGACAAAGCTCTTCCAGCACCCCCTCCCCAAACAATTCCGCACCATGCCTCTGAGGGCTGGGTGAAGGGAGCCAGGGCCCTGCAAACGCTCAGGCGGGCATGTGAGAAAGCTCTTTACTGGGGGGTACAGCAAGGAGGAGCAATGCCATCTCCCCCTACCTGCCCCCGCCCCTTCCTAGGGCCCTGGGGTGAAGGGGGTCTCCCAACCACTGGACCACCACTGTCTTTGGTACAATAAATAGAAAACAAGGGGAGAGAGGGGGCCAAGGGTCCAGTCCTTAGTGTGGGGGCACGCCTGAACCCCTCTCCTTGACCCCCTGCCCCAGGCCCCAGTCAGTGCAGGCCTCACCCACCCCAGCTGGGCAGCAGCAATTCCAGTCAAGGGGAGAGATGAGGATGGGAGCCCAGGGCCCCCAGATGGGGGGAGGGGTATGGCTTCAGGAGGGCCCCAGGGGAGGGGCAGGGTCATGAGCTGGCTGCCGTGCTCTGGGGTACACCACGAAGGCCCAAGCGAGGCCCCAGAGTGGCAGGGTCATCAGGGGGTGGGAGGGGTGGACGACCTCCTGTCATCCGAGTCCGGAGGGCTGAGGCAGCCGAGTGCTGGGGGGCAGGCGCAGGATGGAGTGGAGAGCAGTCAGGAGGGCCGCCCACCAGGCTCACATCCATCAGCTCCGGAGGTGGTGGTGAGGTTGGTGATGGAGGACGGCCAAGGCATCGGGGTTGGGGGGGTAACTGGGTGCCAGCCCCTGGCAGTGATGATGCAGAGGCAGGGGCTTGATGTGTCTTGTGGGGCACATCACCGCCTGCCCAGGGGCGCATCGGCTGGGAGAGTGGGACCTAAAGGAGCAAAGGAACAGTGGGTGATGGAGAACCAGGTTCTCGAGTCCTAGATACCCCACCACCCACCTCCAAAGGCCCTAAAGCCCCATACCTTGGGGCTGTTCATCTCACAGTCAGTGATGGAGGGCCCAGGGCCCCCACAATATCGGTTGCTGTAGCGGTAGGTCCGGTTATCATTGGAGGAGCCACTGGAGCCTCCTGGAAATGCCAGGGGAGGAGAGAAGAGGCCTTAAGTGAGGAGAGGTGGTGGCTGGGTTTTGAGGTGGCTGAGTCTGATTCATGACCCAGGCACAGGTTTGGGCTTTGGGTTCTGCATTCATGTGAAGAAATCAGGCCCAATTTTGAGATTAGGGGTCAGAGTTCAGTTTTGGGTGTTGGAGTCAGAACCAGTTAGAGGTCTGAGCACAAGTTCAGTTTCAGAGATCAGGTCAGGACCAGTTGGAGTTCTCCTGCCCTAACCTTTGGAGTTCAGGATCATGCAGTTTCAAAGCTCTAGGTGAAGGCCCAATGACAAGGTCCCCAAGGTCAGGCCACACCAGAGCTTCCCCCACAACTGTCCTACCCTATTGGGCACTGGGCACCCACCAGAGCTGGAGATGGAGCTGGCGGTGCTGGAGGAGGGGCAGGTGTCGAGGGGGGCGGGCGAGGTGGAGGCACTGCTGCCTGCCGGGCCTGTGTTGGTGGCTTCATCTGCCGTGCGGCGAAAGAAGCCATGCTGCAGAGCCCCCAGTGGGCTGATGCGGGCGGCGGGCTCATACTCCAGCATGCGCAGCACCAGGTCCTGGAA